CTTTGACAATTGGGCCACGGGAGCAAGGCAGGGAGAGAGTCACCCCAAGCCCCCAGCGCCTCCCTACCACACATGCGACTCTGCCGCCCTCACAAGCCAGTCATGCCCACCAGGCTGGCTGCCCACCTGGCTTACCAACCGGCTTCTCTGTACCTGTCTTTACAATCTGCAAGCCTGATTTATTTTTTTTCAATAGGAGAAAAGATGTTAAGTCCCTTGGAGCCAAGTATGCCTAATATATATCACAATATTTATTTTGGGGTAGAATAATGAATCAGTCTTCCGGGAGAACTAGAAAAAAAAAAGGAATTTCTTGAATTCGGGTGTAAATCAATCAGTCTGCAAACCACAGAGCTCTCAGCCCCCTGCTAACTGCACTGTGAAATAAGGAGCTGACTTTTAAAAGTCATGGTGTGATTCGTGTCCTGCCCTCACACCGAAGACAAGTGAAGGAGATGAGGCCTGAGAAGCAATTGCCCCTGGAATGTCTCATTCCCCCGAACGATGACGGAATTAAGAAATGAAAGCAGAGAGCCAACCCGCCTGCCAGTGGAGAGGGATTCAGCTGGTAGGGACGCGCGTCCTGCTACACTCCAGGAAGAAGAAGGGGGGTGTGGCTGGGCTGAGGATGGGTCTCCCGAAGGCTCTGTCCAGCTGTGAGAGCAGCCTCCATCTACCCGTCTATGCTAAAGGCACAGCACTGAAGGATGGGGAGGGGAAAAGGATCTCCAGCCGATCTGCATCCCAGGGCTCTTCCAGGGGAGACTATTTAAATCTGAGCTATTCCTGATATTAATTATCCTGAACATCTCACAGGCTCAGATTCACATGCTACAAAGAACACAACGCCTTTTAATTTTCCTACCTGTCCCTGGCACCAGTGACGATAAATCAGATATTCCGAGAAACCACACATGACGAACGAACCGGCCCATTGATGGGAGCAAAGGTCATTTGCCAAGATGACATACTCTGACACCATCACGTCTCAGGACCGGTCRGGTCCTGGAGAATCCAGGCAGCAGGCAAGGGCCGGGGCACTCCCTGCCAAGCCACAGGCAGCCTGGGGCACCTCTAGCATCCTCCCGATGCCCGCTATCCAGGCAGTGGGGATTCTGCTCATGGGCACGACCTCTGGGCTCCCTCAGCTTAGCCTTGCACTCTGAAAACGACTGCAACTTCTAAAGGACCTCTTGGGGCACTGAGCTGCTCAGCCCCCAAACCCGGCTGTGGTTCCTCCTACTCTGAGCCTCCTCACCATTCCAGTTACCCTCCCAGAGAAGACCCCGCCTCCACCTCAGCAGCCTTATCTGATGGTTTATAGATCTTTAGCCATTCACTCCAGTGTCTGGGCTCCAGCTGAATGTCAGATCGTACTCTAGGGGCTAAAGAGAACAGTGAACAGGCGGGACTAGAGAAGGTAGGAGAGTCTTCCACACGTGACACTGGTTTTACCCTGAACACAGACCCAGTGATACACGGGAATCCCTCTCCTGAAGGTCAGAGTTGATAGACTTAAACTCTGGTTGGACTCTTAGCAGGCCCACTGTATGCAGTGGTGCATGAGAGCCCAGGGCCACTCCAGTGGACAGGGAAGGTGGTCAAATCCAACCCACATGCTTCTGGCCCAGCCCAGCACTCCAGAATGAGGCTGCATCTAACCCGAGGAAGCAGCTTCTTCTACAGTTTGTCCAAAAGCACATGCAGGGTAGGGGCAGCCCCAACTCCAGTTCCCTGTGCCCACTGCAGAGACTGCCCGAGCCCTTTAACATAAAGCCCTCTTCCCCAGAAGGGGTGACCGAGGTTCCCCAGATCAGCAACCAACCACCATCAGTTGGAGCCAGGACACTAAATTCTTTCCCTGGATGTAACCTGAACAAACTACGCATAGCCAGCTCTGGTCATGTGTGAGAAAAGCCTGAACTTGAATTCATAAGGAAYCCACCTATGGAGGAAGACCCTATTCCCTGCACGACCCTCAGATCTGAAAGGGAAGGCGGCTAATCAGCATTCTGGCCTTTCACACGCTGGCCAGCACTCTTCTCGATCCCAAGCTGAGAATCTGTTCAATCCCATTTCCCAAAGTTCAGCTTGGGTGCTAGGAATATTAACTTAATACACATCTGGGAATCTGCTGTGGGCAGCTGCTGGGACACAGAGTGAACGTCACTGCCATCAACACGTCAGCCCACTCCTGTCCTCGGCTTCACAGAACCCAGATAGGCTGAGACCAGAGAGAGTTCAACTGCTAAGCAGTGCCTGACCAGGCTGGCAGGCCACCTAGGGGCCAAGCCAGGAGCCCAGTGTCCACGACCAACCCATCTGCTTTCACAGGAAGGCCCGGGRAGGAAAGGAGGTGACAGTTAAATCAGACAGTTGACAGTTCAGCTGAGACAACCGCTTGGGTCTCCCTTCTCTACCACTTTGTTTTTCTCCAAGGTTCAAAATATATTTTTTTTTTGTTGTTGGGGGCGGGGGGTGGATAGTTGATTCCAGTAACAAAGTGCTTCCTGATGCACGTACACCCAGAGCCTGTGGCTCAGCCCGTCTTATCAGCACCAGACCTTGTCCCCGTGTCCATCTCTCAAACCAGAATGTTCATAAATAGAGTTTGTTGATCTAAAGCCTGGGTGTCCAGTTCCCATTCCTCTCGTTTATCACCCTCTCTGAATCTGTCTTGACATTTACTTTCACTTTTAAAACCTCATCTTCTAAGAACAGGCCCTTTTTTATCTGATGCTCGCTCCCTCTCCTCTCCATGGGTCTAATCAATCCATGTCTGGAAATAAACAAACAAAGACAAATGCCACCGTCCCCTTTRTGAAAACAGGCACTTCTCTGAAATGATCTACCCCTAGGCATGACACAGAGACAAATTTAAACGAGAGGGAAATAAAGATAGTGGCCGTCATCTGCATTGCTCACCTGCATGGCTCACCGGGTGGGACGGCAGGGATGGAAACTCTGGGTTAACCTCGAAGCCAAAAACCTCCGCCCCAGATTTTTCAGGTGGGGGGTGGGGGTGGGTGTTAGACTCAAGAAGCCTGAAGAGACCACAGGCTTTCAAACATAATAGGAATCTATACCAGCCCCTCCCACCCTGAGGAAGCTYAGGGTCTTCAAGATAGTAAGAGAGGGCTGCTGAGCACCTGCCGCAGGTAAATKCGAACATCCCTCTAGCAACTTCTGGGGTGTGAAGAGATGCCGTGGAAAATTGGCAACCAACACAAATTACTTCCCATCATATTATTTTACACCCACCTGCAAAACAGAATCCCCACCCCTCCTACCACTCCCAGTCACTGTCCCCAGTCATCACCCCCGGCCTCAACTGGCATAGGAGGCTGCCTTGATGTGGAAGGACAGAACCAAGTTCCCCACGAGCCAACCTACACCTCCCACCACGGCTCCCACCCCAGGCTCTCAGAAATGGGTCACATGCATCTCTTTTGTCCAGGATAGTAGTACTTCATTCTTAATCCTATGGGGAATCCTATTGAAAACTGGATGGTAGCTCTGGACATTGCATGAAAAACTGCACACATGCAATTGGTATGTAATTTCACTGGCAGTTGCTGCCCTGGGAGGAGRTCCAGGAGGGCAGAAAGAGCGGTGAGCAGATTTGGGAAAGGGTGCTGTGGGTCAAGGTGAACTGTGGACCGCACTGCTCCTTAACAGTGTTAACTGTAGTACTTCAAGTTCTAGCCTTCAATGAACCTTTGAGGATTCAGCAAGAATTTGGAAACCAGGAGGCATGCTTATGCACACGCACATACCCCCAGGGCTCAAGCGTTGTGGCTTCCCATCTTGACTTCACAAAAAGTCCTGAGATTGCTAGTTAAGACAGTCTCGAATAGGGTTCAGGGAAGCACCGCAGAGTAACAGCAAAGGTAAATGGGGAGAGGTGGGCACTGGGAGGGAGGACAGCCTGGATGATGGGGAGGGATAGGCAAGCTCTCTGCCAGCTCTGAGTAGGTCTTGGCAGGGCAAGTCCTGACCCTTGCTGCCTGCTCTCCCTCGAAATCAGGGCAGAACTGCTGACTCTCCCGCAGCCAACCAAGAAGTACAGGCTGAAGCAGTTCTTTCCTTCTGGGTCCATGCAGAGGGGAAAGCATCCTCTCATTTCTAGGGAGGAGACCCTGSCCCACTGCTTGCCCACGGCCCCCTCGTGGCCTGGGGGTGTCACTGCAGCCCCCTCTGCATTGCTGGGCACAAGCCTCCAGTGGGCTGCTCTCACAGCCCCAGAACTGAATATTTAGGCGCAAGTGGTGACTTAGCAACCGTCTGCAAGGCTAATGTTTGTTTTTGATTTCTTAAACTAAGACTCAGACTCAAAGTGATATTTCTAAATCCCTCCCTGGTACAATCCCTACAATCAGTCCAAGACCTGCTTCATTAAGCCAATAACCTCAGAGCTTCTATAACATTACCACTGCCTTATTGACCATTCCTTCTCTTGTCACAAGCAATTATGCATGATTGTTCCAAAGCTCAACAGGAAAGCAGGAAAGCACAACACCTCTGGTTTGTAGGGTGCCGACTAGATTACAAGATATTTGCAGAACACCATATCCCCCTCAAATCCTGGGTTTCCAGGCAGCAGGTCCTACAGGGGTTTGGTGAATCAAGACTTTTTAAGAAACAATGTTGCTGCTGGCTCCCAGGTCTGTAAATGCAAACAGAACGTGCCCTAAGGAACCTGAGCCCCACTCTCATTAGCAACTCCAAGGGAGCCCACTTGGGCCGGGACTAAAYAAGAAGCACCAATCTGGGGGTTGGGAGCAGGTGCTCCAGGGGTTCAGCAGCTTTCCTTCAGGGGTGGAGAGGAGTAACTGAATCCCTGAAAACAAAGTGTGCAGGGCTGAGAGAAGGTGGGAAGTTTGGGAAGAGAGGGGTGCCGAATGTGTCTCAAAGATTTAGGGTGGATCAGGGGCCAGGAAGGAAATGGACGGGAGCACCAGGTCTTGTCTTTGGGGACAGGTTGGGGGCCAGGTGCTTACCTCCTTGATTTTCTCCCGCTGGGCTCGAACTGGGCTCTGTGGCTCTGTACTCTCAGCCCTCGTTCCAAGGACCGGGTGGCGGAGGCGTCTCTGGAACGCTTCGAAATCAAATCTGAGCAAGGAGCTCGAGGCCGTGGTGGGGATGTGCTCCTCGGTGGGGTGAGCGCGCGGTATCCACTCCTTGAGGTGCTGGGCGCGCCGCATCCACTCCTTGCGTCGGGGACTGACCCGGTGGTGGCGGGCGCCCAGGGCCGGCTCAGCCAGGGCCGGGTTGGGAGGCGGCTCCCGTTTACCGGGCGGAGAGCGTCCGCCTACTTCAGCCACCAACTCCAAGCCGGGCTTCTGGGCCCGGGGGGCCAGAAAGAGGCGCTTGAGGCGAGAGGAGTGGGGCAGCAGGAAGAGGGCCCCGAAGCACAGGGTGACCAGGCCAGAGAGGAAGAGGAGGAAGAGGAATTTCTGCGGCAGCCGCAGCCCCCACGGGGAGGCCGGGACGAAGCCCGGCACTTTTCTCATGAGCATCGTGACCCGGCACGAGTCTGGGGACCGTCAGCTCCGCCTGGGGCCCCAAGGCCCTCGGAGGGCAGGCACGTGTTGGGAAGGGCTTCGGTGCCGGGAGGCGTGCAGGGAACCCGCGCGGGTGGGGGTTCCCGGGTAGGGATGCCCACCCGGAGTTTCACGGCTACCGGAACTGTCCCCGAAGTTCAGGGAGTTTGGAACGAGTCCTCCCGCCCCGGGGCGGGGGTGCCGCGGCCTCGGCGGGGCCCGGGCGAGAGGGGCGGCACGGCTTGGGGCCCGGGCCCGCAGCGGCCGGCGGCGCGCCGCAGACTTCCCTCTGGTGGCCGCGCGGCCCCTCCCCGCAGCAGCTGGGTCTTCGGGGCCCGCGCCTTCCCGCGCTGCGGCGGCCGCCGGGGCGGTCACATGCCGTCCGTGGCGCCCAGGTGGTTGGTGCGGAGGGGCGACCGCAGGCCGGGGCCAGGCGGCGTCCTGGTGGTCCGCGCCGAGCCGCCCTCCGTCCCTCGGCCTCCCTCCCGCGCTCGCCTGCGCCCAAAGTTTCAGCCTCAGAAGCAGTTTCTAGAGGGGGCCGGCTCGGGAGGCGAGGCGGTGGCCGGGCTGGCGTGAGAGCGCCTCTCCGAGCGCGCGCACCCCCGGCTGGATCGCGACAGCACCCCGGCTCGGCTATCGGGACACGTCCACAACTTTGCTTCGCCGCGAGGAGGGCGCCGGGGTGCGGGGAGAGGCCGAGGAGCGGGAGCCGGCACTTCCGAGCCTGAGGCGGCAAGAGGCTTCGCAAGCCCCCGGGAGCACAGAGATGCCCGAGTCTGGGTCCAGCGCCGGGCGCCGTCCGCGAAGAGCCGCGGCTGGGCGGCTGCAGCTGCCCCCAGGAGCGCGGGCTCTCGCCCCGCCAACTCGGTTGGGCTCGGGGTTGCCGCTGGGATCACCTGTTCCCGGCCCCGGCCGGCTCCGCGGAGCGCGCAGCCYGGGCTGCGCCTCCCCCGCTGCAGCTGCGTCCTCGCAGCGGCCGCTCCAGACGGGCCGCCGCCGCCGCAGGCTGAATCGCCGCCGCTGCCGCTGCTGAGCCTGCGCCCCACACGCGCGCACACCCGCCCGGACGCCTCCGCCGCCGCCGCGGCTCGCTCGGGCTTTCACTGCGACAGCGCCCGCGGCCCCGCCTCCCGCCGGGACACGCCCTCAGGCCACGCCCTCCCGCGCGCGTCCCGCGGTCCGGACCCCTTCACCGCCACCACCGCCGCCACCATCGCCACCAGCAGTGGCACCGCAGCCAGGCCAATGGCCTCGCGTCTGGGCGTAGGGGGTGCTGGGGCTGAGCGAGGGTGGGGAGAGGGGACCGGACTCCAAGCCACGCCCCCTCCCTCAAAGGGCCAGCGCCGCGCACACCCCCCAGCCCATCAGCACCAATGGTCCAGCTGCGCGGGGTTGGCGAGGGCGGGGGTGGAGAGCGCAGCGAGGTCATTGGCTGCCTTGGAGGGATCCCCGTTGGGCCACAGTCGCCCATTGGATACTGCCCTGCGTTTGCTGGACTGCGAGCGACCGAGACACCCCCTCCCCCGCCGCGCCAGCTCTGCCCTGGGTCGTGGTCCACCGGAAGGGGCAGGAGACGAGGCTAGTCTGGAGGGCTATGCCCGTCGTTAGGTGACCTCTCTCACCCCCTCAGTGCCAGTCCGGAATGGCCAGGGAGCTAGGGACTGCCCAGAGGTTCTCAGAGCTTCCGCTGAGCCATGCTGGTGCTGCTGTGGCAGGCTGGGCCTCGGAGGGTGGCTGGTGCCAAACCAGAGAGACGTGGCCTCGGTTGGGTCCGGCTGAGGCAGTGTTTCCACTGTCCCCCGCAGACCACCGCCCTGCCTTCCTTTCCCACAACCTGAGGCCAGGGCCTTTGGGTGGGGCAGGGAAGGATGCTAACCKCAGGCTTGGGAAACAAGGAAAGAGAGCAAGCCGCGGGAATGCGCACCAAAGACCACACAGAACACGCAGCATACATGTACCCAGATGTCTACGCGTGTTTATGTGCACACRTGTGTTTGCATGCATAGAAACAGATGCACAGAGACAGACATGTGAGCATGAACAATTTAGACACCCAAGTGAATACGACAAAGTACGCACAGACGTAAATACATAGTAGTCCAAAGGTTGACATGTGCACACGTACCCGCACTCAGGTAACACACCTCCAAAATCATGCCCATGTGCACACTTCAGGCATGTGTTCTCAGACACCTGCATCTCCACCGGGAGGCCCTCACATTCCTCCCTGGACTTAGCCTGTGTCTTCCCTTCCTGTTAAGCCTCACCCAGGGCAAAGGAGCACTGTGCTATGTGGGTCTTTCATGCATAACACTTTATAGAGACAAATAACAGCAGAGGGAGAGACAAATTAAGAGGTGTAATAGGCAAGAGGGAAAATATCTGCTTTCAGATGCAATTTAAAATGAAATGCAGCGTTGACGAGACAGAAAATACTGCAGGGAGGCCATTCCTGACAGGAAAAAAGTGGCCCAGGCAAGCTCTCACCGAGGAATTCTGGCTTCTTCTCTGAGGTCTACTACGGATGGGCCACGGGGACTCAGACGTCCTTCCACCTCTGGCCAGGCCACTGACAGCAGAGTATCAGATCTGCTCCTGATATTTAAATACTCCTGGCATGTAAATTTCTTCCAACTGAAAATAAAAGACAAGAGATTGCTGTGGTGAACAGGTGCAAATATTTTGGACACTGGAGATGAATCATCACTCCCAACCACACATGTACACCCAGTTTCAGTATCAAATTTTTATTCAAATGTTTCAGTGTCTTGTGAATTTGGTTGGTAGGAGTCAGTTCCCTGGGACCAGCTGCGAACATCAGTGATTAGCATGTGACCCACTTGAATTCAGGAGCCCAGAGGCCTAACCTAGCCTCTTCCACGTCTCCAAACCCCACGCTTCTCCTTGCTGGGTCCCACCCCAGGAAATGACAGGCTAGTCTCTGGGGAAACAGATAGGGAGCCGTGCATTCCTGAACATCCTCTGCATTGTTGCACAGAAGTGTAGGGGAATCAGCTAGGTCCCCTGTGAAGGCAGGACCCAGAGGGAGAGGTGGAAAGCAAGGCTGCATCTCAGCAGGAAATGACTAAACTGGGTGCTCACTGTGGTACTGATGGCCTGACCAGCCTCTGGCATGTTCCATGAGCCAGGGTAGAAAGAAGGGCCTCGGCAGGACGGATGTGCCTTYCAGACTTGGGTTACAAAAACCAGAGCTGCATTTCAGACCAATGGAATGTTGGTGATGACACCAATCTGGTGATACCATGACCTTTGTAACCTCTCCAACAAGCTCTCTGAAGCCTCAGAGGACCCCCAACCCTACACCTGTAGACAAACCGCATGGACAGACCCATGGACATACCCCATAGACATACCCTATGGACATACCATGGCTCTCTCCCTCTGGGTTTCTTTCCTACTGATGTGTCATCTCACAGCAGACACTGAGACCCTCATAGCAGGGACAGGGCTCGGTCACCTCTGTAACTGCCCCCAAGTCTTGGCCACGATGGCCCTGTATTGAGCAAATGAATGAATAAGGACTGGATAAGCATTTTCAGATATGGAAACCGAGGCTCGGGGAAGGGAACGATAGCRAACATTTTCTACCTGCTAAGTACATACTGCTTCATTTACTCTTCAGAATAATCTTATGTGGCAGATGTTATTAATAGCTCCATTTTACAATAAGAATACTTAAGACTTGAGATTTGGGATCGGTTAATAAGCCTCAGTATTAGKCAAGACCCTACAGAAAAACAGAACCATTAGGATAGAGAGGGAGATGTCTTAGGAGGGGTTGACTCACGTGGTTATGAGGCCGAGAGTCCCACCATCTGCCGCCTGCGGGCTGGAGACCCAGGGCGTCAGTGGTGTAGCGCTAGTCCAAGCCACAAGGCCGAGAACCAAGTGGGCCAATGGTCTGGGCCTTGGTCTGAGTTTGAAGACCGGGAACCAGGGGCAAAGGACGTCCCAGCTCAGGCCCTGAGCACACATCTGCCATAATCTGCAAGGAACCAGAAGGTTCTCTTCAGGCCGTCAGGGGATGGATGATGCCCACCTCTGCTGGTGAAGACGGATCTTTACTCAGTCTACCAATTCAAATGCTAATCTCTTCTGGAACATTCCCAGATACTCCCAGAAAGAATGTGTTACCAGCTCTCCAAGCATCCCTAGCCTAGTCAAGCTGACACATAAAATTAACCATCACAGTATCTTTCTCAGTTTAATTCGGAAATCCAAGTGGGACTGGAAACAAAAAAAAAAAAAAAATGAACAGCCATTTCTAAAAATCTAGTCTGTCTACAAACAGTGATTCAAATTAGATGGTAGACATTGCTCCCGTCTTGAGTTGGACACAGAGAAGGGCAGAGCATGGTCCTGTTTATGGGCTCCTTCGTCCAGTAAAGAGCTATTAATGGAGCACCTACTATGTGCCAGGTACAGAGGGGATAGAAATGTGGTCAGATATAAGGCCCCCATGAAGCTGCCCACATCGGACTTGTTATCCGAAAGGCAACGTGGACCGGTTCAGCCACAGAAGGGGGACCACGAGGTACCAGCACCTCGATAAATGCTTCTCTCAAGTCCCATCCAGCCCTCTCAACCACCCTTTCTGAGGTTCTTCAGATCCCAATTCAACAGATGCAATTTAACCCAAGGCTCTGAGTGTGTCATGATTTGCCCAGGGTCACACTGGGAAAATAACTTACAAAGAGGAGAAAAATACCAGGCCCACCTGATCCTAGAATCTATCCTTTTTCTGTTAATAATATTAATAGTGACTAAGAGTAACGGAGCACTTACGCTGTGGCAGGGTATTTTTAAATCATGTTTAAAGAAACARATTGATTGGATCTTGAAAACCACCCCATGAGACAGGTACTATGATTTCTGACAATTTCCAGAAAAGGAAACAAAAGCACAGAGATAGTTAGGAACTGGTCCAACAGCACACAGCTGGAAAGTGGGAGATGGGAAGTGGCAGATGTTCAGGGTTCAGAGCTCTTGGTGTCTTTTCAGGTTGATGTTCTGCATCTTATGACGTTGTGAGAACTGGTGCTGGGAAAGAGCACTAGACTCGGGTGAGATCTTCACGGGCGTGTTGGGAGAATTCTGGGAGCTCATTTAGTCATCCYGCAAGCATGTTCACGGTA